GCCTGACTGAAATTATATTTCTTAACAGTCCATTTACAAGAAGAAGAATAAAGTAATAATTATAAATGAATATACTTTAAATGAAATGCTTGATGAACTATGAATAACTTAAAACAATGTAAAAAGATTTGGAAAGTTTTCTTACCTCTGAACGGAAGATACTAACTCCTTTTCTTTCTTTTTCTGGCAAATTAACTGGGCTTCTTTTTCTTGACATTGTTTTTTGATCTCTTCAAGCTTTTTTTCTGCATCTAGCAAAGTCTCTTGTAAATTCTTATTTTTTTCTTCTAGGACCTGAAGCTAAGGAGAATTTTTATAGCTCATAACATGAAATATTAAATGTTTCTATTAGAAATTACTACTGGTTCTCAAGGATTAACACATTGCTAAAATTATGCTATCTACATTTCATTTAGAGTTCTTAACACTATCTCTCCTTTGAGTGGAAGAGAGTTAAGAGAATGGGACTGTGGAAAAGAGAATGGGATTAGGCATTTCTAGAAGACAGAAGGATTTTTACTTAGAATTGTGGTAAGATAACATAACAAAATTTACCAGCTTAACCCTTTCTAAGTGTGTTAAGTACATTCACACTGTTGTTCAACCAATCTCCAGAACTCACCTTGCATAATTTAAGCTCTATACCCAATAAACAACTCCCCCAAACCATACCTTACTCTATCCCCTGGAAATCAGCTTTCTACTTTCTATGATTTGACTCTTCTTGGACCCCATATAAGTTAGAACAGGATTTATCTTTTTGTGAATGATTTATTTCATTCAGTAAAATATCTTCTGATTAATCCAGTTTATAGTATATGCCAGAATTTCCTTCCTTTATAGGGATAAGTAATTTTTCACTCTATGTATACATGATTTATAAACAATCTTTTGCTTACCTGCTCATCCACCCATGGACACTTGCATTGGTTCCATCTTTTGACTATTATGAATAACACTGTAATCTGTTCAAGACCCTGATAGTAGCTATCCTAATGTTGTAAGATAGTGTCATCTCATGTTATTTAATTTAAAGTGCTCTGTTTCTGCTCATGTAACTTCCTGTAGTTAAGTTACTTCCTGACCTTAATCTCTTTCAGTTTTACAACTTATAAATTAATACAAAATAAAGACTGCTCTATAGATATGAGAATATGCAGAATAATGGCACTCCATGGATTAGACCAATGATTCTCAACTGGGAGTGATGTTTATCTTCAGGGAACATTTGGAAATGTCTGTTAACATTTTTGGATTTGGAGAGAGGGGAGGGAACAGTGTTATTAGCGCTTAGTAGGTAGAGGCCAGAAGGTCAAATGCAAAAAATGTACATCCATCCATGCACAGGACAGACCATTATAAGAAAAATATTTTCTACTCCTAATTGTCAATAGTACCAAACTGAGGAACCCTGCTCAGGAAGCCTTTGAGAAAAAAATTGAAGAGTAGATTTTATGGATTTATAAGTAAGATTTAGGCAGGCAGGCTTCGCCAGAATTGACAGGAAGACTTTGGATTAAGGTACTGTTATAAAAGGAAAACAGAAATAAGGGGAGTGAACAGAAGACAGATGAAGGTCTAAGGAATAATTTATGGAAAGGCTAAGAAGAATGAGGAAAACAAACATCTAGAAAGATACTCAAAAGAATGCTGTGAAGAGTCTTGAATCGCAGAGATTATTGGAGAAATTCAGAATTCGTGTACATGCATGAGTATCTATGGGGCAGGTTTATCAGACTGGTTTAGAAACAACCTTTTACAGTAGAACATTTAAGTGAGAGGGTTATCACATAGGTTAATGAGGAATGTAACCACATATTATTTAACAATGAGAGTTCTATTCATGCTTGGATGAACAAAGTTTCTGATTCAACTAGATCCTTAAACAGCAATTAAATAGTAATTTATAATTAGTGAAATTTCTAAAGAATTGTGCTTTCATGGAATTTAAAAGACGAGACTATTATTTCATATTACCTGTAGACTCTGACTTTGTACATCATCTAGAGTTGGAAGATCAGCCAGATACTTTTCCAAGGTCTCAATTCTTCTCTGCTTTTCTTTGTTTTGTTCAGATTCCTTCTGGCATTTCTTTTTCAGGCTATTGATATATCTATCTCTGGTTTTTAGCTAAAGAAAAAAGATTATGAATCTTCAGTGGTTTTGAGTCATTAACAAAACAAACATTACAGTCTTGGGCATCAATGAATTTATCCATAGTTCTAGGTTAGAGTGGAGACCACCACCACCCTCAATTAAGATTTACCTTATTTCATTATAAGATTCACACTTTTTTTCAAATTTTTATATCCCTGTAATTATGACTTTTGGGTTTTTTTATTTGCTTTTACCAGGGTAGCATCCTATAAATTGCAGTCAGGTGGCAGTAAGAAAGTAGTTTTTATTGCCTACATATATACAAATTTGGCCAAGATTGTTCACATCTTTGTCATTTCAATAGTGTAACAGTTGTCATTTCATAGTTCATGTTGAAACTATGTTTTGAGTCTAAAGGATGTTGGATATTTAAAATAACTTTGAAAACATCACAGTTCAACTTGGAATTTTAAAAAGTTACTGCATATCTAGAAAAGCACAAAAATAAAGTCACAGATGTATTTGTCTCTGGAGTAATAATTCCAATTTATTTTTTGCAAAGCTATATCCAAATGCTTTATGTGAACTCCTGGAAGAAGACATATAAAGTAATCAAAGCTGTTTTGCTACTAACAAATCTTCAAAAGAATTGCCTATTATGGTCTAAGCAATGCAACCAGAGCCAGGAGACATTACCAAATACTTAGGAACAAATAAGACCCTAGGTGTGAACAATTTCACATCTTAATCAAGACTATTCCTAATGCACTGTGTCATGATTAAATTTTTAGCACATTTTCTTTCTAAAAAGAAAACATAAAGGTGCCTTACACTGATGTCACTTTAGCACTGATAAATTGTGCTAATTAAATACACATCTACTGTACAACACACATTGTACATTATTCCAGGAAATCCCAACTTGTACAAGCTAAACCTCAAATTTTTGTGTAATAACTTTTTATGTTACAACCTGAAATATGCCAATTTCAAATTTTACATCTCATATTCATACTTTCATATTTCAGATCAATTAGGAATAAAATGTGTACAAAAACTATTGCCTCAAAGATAAATTCCTGGACTCAAATTTACCAGTGTTCTATTTAATTTAATGCTTTTATAGAAACTTAGCAGGGTTCTGAAGCATTTTTATAGATGTTTCCATGTTCTCCAGGGAAACTGAGTAGTACTATAATGGATTACTCACTGAACTTTTGGTAAAGCTAAAACTGATACCTGGCCTAGCTTCTTTTTCATGTCTTACCTAATGCAATTTCCTGTGGTTAAGTTACTTCCTGAC